TGGCATACAAATCGGTAATCAGCTCAATCAATTAACTCAACTCAACTATGTTAATTCTATTCTTAAGCCGGCATTTAATTGAACATGGGAATATTATGACGATCACCAGTCAAAGCTCTTATACAACGTTGCATAAGGATATTGTTTAAACCGTGATGGCGTTCTCTCGACCTTGACGAGAGCGCTGCAGTTTTTAGTTACGTAAGTCCTTGGAATTCGTTCCTTATCCTAGGTTACGCCTGTTGTCCACAGAACACTAAATAAGAATTCTTATATATTGATCTGTGCTGTTGTACTTTTTTTAACACTACATGAAAATGGAATTTCTTATAAGGTGGAGGTATAATTTTTAATCTTTTCCTGGGTTTTATACTATGCTCTGTGACCCCTATAATAGCGCAGCGCGTTCTGAAACATGCACTGGTCTAGGAGCGCACAGGTGTGAAAGCTGCACCGTTGCTAGGAAACCGTTACGTTTTTTCTGCGCGTAAGATTAATGCACCAATAAAATACAACGATATATAAAATACTGCGGTAATTTAGTCACGAGCGGCTTCTGATTGGTTGATTATTTATCATCGGCGAAATGGCGGTTTGTTCAAAAGTATCTATAATAATTCTCACGAAGGGTTTTGTCATTGAGGACATGCAAATGCGGAATTTAAAAAAATGTTGCATTTATAGAATTGAATCAACTTAGTAGAATATATTACATTTATATACTGCACCAGTACCAACAATAATTAACAACATAATCGCAGGTTGGAGGGTAGGGCCTATCTGAAACATTCGGCGTGGGAAAGATTTAAGTTTTTTTAAAAACTAAATAGTTTTGTTTGAATTTTAATCTTCGGGAGATGAAAACGTCGTTGAATGTGTAAAATAATAGCGATTTTTTTTCTGACGCAAAACAAATCTATCTTTGGCTCCATGCTAAATTCAAGCGTATTTTCAATTCGCCAGTCAGCGACGACGTGGTCATCTCTACATTATAGATGATCAAATAATAGCAAAACTCAGATAAAATGACATTGGATGAGCAAAGCTTGTTTTAGGCATGAAATTAAACTATTCTATCCTAACCTAACCTAACCAAACTTGCTGATTATTATTAGTTTTTTGTACTGTAACAGATGTTGAGGACGTAAAATATGATTCTTTACGATAGGTTACCTTTTCAGTTTGGTAAGATATTATGAACTGTCTGTATAAAAAAATAACGGCATTTTACATTATGATACTTTGTCTGGCTGGATTTAATTAAGTTCTTGTATTAACTAAACTTCAACATTAGGAAATGGAATGTCTCACGTACAGTTATTAGTCAGAGCTATAAATGTTATAAAATTAACTAGACAGCATGCATTTTTATGAATCACTATTATATTGAGCCACAAACAAAATTTTTGTATAAAAATTTACTTGAGAGAATCAAATTTTATTTTGGCTTAAAGAGTAACCTTTTGTAGCATATTTGTATTTTATATGATTTTCAGAATGTTATTATGGTCAATTGGCAGCAGTGACTGTTACGTTATGATTTCTTTCAATAAATTACCCTTGGGGTCATATTTCATATTCCAACCATAATCACAAAATCTAAGTGCCCCTGTCAACCATCAGCTTTAAGATGTAACACTCAGTTGAATTGTTTTATGATTTCAACCAATGGTATACCTAGTTTAGTAATTTAATACTTCATTATTTTCTCGCCCATACTGTGTTGTGTTCCTCTTATGTTAAATGTTAAGTGTAACCACTACACTTTTGTAAAGAATTTAAATATGTCTTGTAAATTACTATAGTAAATCTTGTTACAGATGTCTTGGATCGACAATCTTGGATAGATTGTCTAAAATACATTTTTTTTTAAATATTTTTAGTTTTGATCATGTTGTTTTCTGTTGGATTTACACATATAGGGTGATTACCGAGAAACGCATGTTTTTCAAATAACGAGTACTCAGGTAATTCAGAGCAAAAAATTTATTTATGAGTGGAAAAACAGTGTACACAATATGCAATTTCAGAATAAAATTACTTGCAATTTAGCATTTAAAAATTACATTTCTAACGTGGTGGTTAGAGAACATTGATACTTTTACGGGTCGCCTTCTGCTTTGATACAGCGTTGAAGGCGTTCCTTAAAACTTTCTACGGAATTTGCTGACATATCTCTAGGAATGGCGTTGATTTCCTGGCGAATAGCTTCTTAAAGTTCCTGTATTGTTTTTGGTTTGTTTATATTGTAAACTCTAGATTTAAAAAATCCCCATAGAAAGAAATCTGGAATTTTAAGACCTGGTGAGCGCTCGGCCAAGTGACACCACCAAAACGTGGGATAACTCTTTTAGGTAATGTTCGCCGAAGGAATTCCATTCTAATGCGAGCTGTATGGACTGTTGCCCCATCTTGTTGGAACCATATGTCATTACGTACACGTTGATGGCGCAGTTCCGGCAAGAAATATTCTTCCAACGTCTAGGTACCGTTGTGGAATCACTGGAGTCACTGTTTTGCCGTCGCGGCTAGGACTCTCTGAGCTGTTGCAAGGCGCACTCTTTCAACTGTATCAGGGGTACTAACTGTCCTTGCCAGTCCAGGAGGTTTTCTCTTAAGCAGAGATCTAATTGAGTTTGACATTATGTATCCAACGCAATATCATGTTACGATCAGGGGTAGCGCCATGCCGTGCAATGTTAAAATGTGTATGAAAGTCTCGCTGAGTCTGAGTGACTGATTCACCATTTGCGTAATATCGTCGCATGACAAACATACGATGCTCAAGGTCCCACATCTTGGCAAAAATTGAAACTGCACACTTCCCCCTACACATCGCAACAACTTCCGGCCGTCGCCGAACGATATTCCTTGTGTACTACGAAAGTCAAAAACATGCGTTTCCCAGTAATCACCCTGTACATTGATGACGATAACTATATTGAGTTGAAATTAAATATTCACTGTCAAAACTACTAAAGCTAACACTTTTGATAAACCATACTAAATACTTGTTTTTTTTTTATTTCTCAAAGTAAACTGTTAAGAAGCACCTTAAGTACCTCATAGGTATGTTTTCAATATTGTTCATAAGTACTGTATACCAAATTTTTTTAACCACCGTTACTAACTAACTAACTAGTTCTCATAACAGCTCTATATTGGTTTCCTCATATCAAATTCACATAATTGTGTACACTGATAAGCTTTGTTTATTTCCTTTATCTACTGCACTTGGAAGAAGATAAGTCTATAAACAAACAATAGTTGAATCATTACTATTACATGATTAACTAATATACTATGGAATGAATTTCCGATTTGATTTACAATCCATAAATTTACACATTTTCTTATTCTAAAGTTGGTTAGATTCTACACTAGATTTAAAACCTGCAAACCGCATTATTTCGTGGTTGATTAAATAGTCAAGAATATGATGCAGGGTGCATGGTGCAGTTGTTACTTTAGAAAGTAATGGAACTAAATTTGTATGGTAGACTTATACATATTATGAGAAATTTATTTTAGAATCATATTTTGGTTATGACAGTTTTAAGTAGTTAGTTTTAATTATTTACACAGCACTGTGCTGATGTACAAAGTAGTGTCTATAGGTGTTTTTAAAACTGTAACTCATCTTACAACAGCTTTTTTTATATATGGTTTTGGATATAGCATACCTTACGAATACGGCTGTAACTTCAATGAATTTGATATAATTAATCTTATAGGGAGGAAGTTTAAATTATGTATCAGATAGTAAATAAATCCCCTTCAGAGTTACCTAAGTACTAACTAACGCCTGAACTTTAGAACTTTGGTGTTGACAATGATTGGAAATATCAAAGAGAGGAAAACTTTCACAATCTCTATTAACCTCACAGCGTGAAGTATCATTGGTTGTTTGACGCTAAGCGGTAACAATGAAGGCTTTCCATTGTTGTAAAGTAGGAAATGTTGTGAATATAGCCTTCCGAGGTTTTAAAAATATATCTTAATTTTGGTTTATTTTCAATGTTTAGAATGTCTTGTATTGATAAAGCATTACTCTCATAAAATTAAAATTTGTTTAAATTATTTTTTTAATTATCCCTCTACACTGTCCATAATGTCCATCTATAGTTAAAATACTCTTTTGTCCGAACATGGCATAGAGAGAGAGACATATTTAGTTATGCATTTCTTAGTACAATATGAGTAACTAACCGACCCCCCCAGCGAGCACAAGGCGAGTTATTTCCTATATCCATGAATAATTGCTTTGACAAAATTGACAATGAATTATTCCCTGTAAAATATTATTACCCAACCCGCCATGTTAAACTTCCCTATCCCAAGCGTGATGTTAACAACTTCTTTACTTCACGAGTGAAGTAAAGTTTCAAAAACTCACTCGGTGAAATAATGAAACCCATTTAAATAACATTGAGTGCTCAACTTAAAAAAATATACCTCTATGGAGCCAACGTTCAACGCTAGAAATCAGCTGTGTGCTTCTCCATTTAAGTAATGTTAAATAATGTTTGAAACATTCGTGCAGTGACATCATTATTTTATATTTACGATCCATACCCTTTCTGTTCTAATAATCGTGCAGTATTAAATATGTTTGAAACAGCTGTGTGGAAATGTGAAATCAAAATTCATTTGACAGTTCTGCTTGTTTACATTTAAACTTTCTGGTTTGTTCTTTGTTACTATGGAGCCCAATCAATATTTACTTAATTACCTCTCACCTCAGGACTTTGAAAGCCGCGGAGCAGAGTCCTTTGGTCATTATCGAAGCTGGAATAGTTCTATGAACCCTCAGAGCTGCAGCTTTATTTTTGTCCAATTTGAGCCCAGTCGGTTCAGTAGTTTGAGTTTATCTCATACAAACACACACAACACACACACACAGACAGACACCACCTCTTCCTTATAATAGTATAGATTTCACCAAAATAAGTTTGGTAGGTACTAAAGGCCAATCGATAATTTTGTTTCTTCTTTTTCAGGTAGCGTTAAGTTGACAAGAATCTCTCTCACCATGGCGTTTTGCGGAATCGGCAAACATAGTTTTGAGGTAAATTGAGATCATGGTTCTTACAGGAAAATTATAACCTGGTGCATGGGGATCATAGGAAGTTGCTTGACTAATTATTAACTAACTATACTATAAGTGTCAATCACAGTGTAAAATACTGGGGATGAATATTACTGGGTAGCAGTTAATCGATAATAATTAGTTTAAAGTTTAAGTAAAACAACATCCCAAACTAACACCGCTAAAACTAGCCTCGTGGATAAAAGTAATTAGTAAAATATTTGTTTAGGTGCATTCAATAGCAACGAATAAATTACATATGATTATTGTTGTTATTAATTACTACATTTTATAGGAATCTTAAAGAAAGTAGGAAAAGATTTACTTATCTGCTTGTCATATGCATACACGTACCTATAAGTGTATTAAGTCCAATCAAGGGAATAATTTTCAAATAATGTAGAAAAAACGTACCACTTTGAGTTTAACCAATAAAAACTTAAATGTAAAATTAGTGACAAAATTCTCTAAAATCTTAATACGGGACTATCCTCTCTCCCCCTTGTGAATCACCATTCAGGTAGGGATTTAATAGCTAGATAATAAACTTTAAAAGTAACATTTCAAAGGCACAAGGAGTTATGTGTATAGCACATATATATCAAAGCATTTTCTAAAAAGAGCTATGATTGATTATGTTGAGAGGAAAAGCTCTCAATGTCTGGTTGAAAAGCAATAAAAAAATAATATATTTTTTTCCAATTGTCTAATAATCATAAAAAAGCTAATGCAGTGCTAAGGGTTGGTATAAATATTTTAAAAACAAGTTATCTGAGGAAAATTCACATTCCAAAATACTCGTTCTGGAGCAGAAACAAATTCTCAATTGTCGAATCTTGGTTGTTGGAAAATTAGCGTATTGTTGTACTGAGAAGAGTACTATTTGACGTTTCCAACACCTTACAACCATTCGTATTTGGGACAAGCTACAATTCAAAATCAGTACAATTCTCTAAAAATATAGCTTGTCTTAAGGATAAATAGCTGCAAGTATTTTTCCCAGTCGTATGACACCATCATTACCTGAACACCAAGATACGATAATCTACTTTGACCATGGTGGCCTAGTTTTCCAGTTGTGTTTTCAACGAATATTCCTCAGATAACAAAATTTGTTGCATGCTTCACATTTGGCTGGTGGTGGTGCTTAGGTGGGGGGTGGAGAACGGACAATCTTTCCGGGGTTGAGAAACCTATGAAATATTCTGGTGGACCCGATCGCCTAGTGGAAGTAGTCGAGCCGCGCGGACGCAGCAGAGTTGGCATTTTGGATGGCGAGGAGCTGACCTCCGCCTGGCCTCACACTCAGACCCTCAGTGATGCGACGCAGACGACGGAAGACGACGAAGCAACTCTACGGGAACTGCTTATGAGGTATTGTCTTGGAGAGAACAGCGTTTGTTTTTGTTCAGATCAAAGGAGAAAGAGTTTAGACTACAGTTGACTCTAGGATAGTTATGTGAGCGGGAGGGTGTCGGATTACCAGAATTAATGCAAAATTTAAACTTCCACCCTGGTTATCTGAAGGTTGTGGCGTAATCCCGAAAAAAGTTCAAACCTTTTAAATTGTTAAAACTTAAAACTTGACCGAGCTATCTTTGATCTTGATTTTGATAAATGATCCTGGCTGATGATCCAGCTGATCTCGGTTTGGAAACAATGCTGGATCGCATTCATTCAACACTCATCATTTACTCATATTCACCTCACTCTAGTGTGTCGTAGTTGTGAAAATCAAATTAGTCCAAGAAAAGAAAACTAATGACACCTTATATACAATCATTGACTATTGTACGTTCAAGTTAACAAGGTTATTTTGGTTCCATTAATGGTTTTTCTTTCGTAGGCCTGGTTATTATTCAGTACAGTTTTGTTTTACATATGCTAAAAAAGTCAGGTACTTTTTTTATAAACCAAACATGCGCAGTAATGTGATTATTTTATTTAACAATCACTTCTATTCACTGTAAGGTTGGGAGAAGACACCGCGGCAGGAAAGAGGAGACTCCTTTCACAGCCTGAATATAAGTCCAGTCCTGTATTGAATGGGTATCAACCCATGCCTCATTCATCGGAGCAACCGATTACCGAGATTGTTGGACTATCAAGTGTCGGATTACTGAGTGTGTCAAATTATCGAGAGTCAACTGTAGTTGTTAAAAGGTTAGATGTTTACAGTTAAATGTTTCTTGAAACTTATATTAGTATTTGGAAATATACGAGGGTTGTTCAGAAAGTAAGGAAAGCTCAGACGCCGATTTACGTGTGGTGGTCGCGTACTTCCTAGTTCACATGTTCACCTACTCAATGACTGTCCAAGTATCATAGTCGTAAAGTTTAAAAAGTGTGCTGCAATTGAAAATCCCGCAAGTTATAGGGTGCAGATAGTACAGTTTTTGTTGGCTACACTTAAAACCCCTAAAAATTTATCCTCAAGGTTGTAAAGGTACGGAAACAACGTAGTGAATGTAGGTGAATGTATGTGGTAGTGAATGTATGTTCTGGAAAAGGTGCACTGGTTTTAAAATGGCCAAACTAAGGTTGGCGTCCAAAATTTAATTCTTTTTGCATGATAATGCCTGAACTCACACATCAAATACACACATGTTCGCCTTCAATCATTCAAACGGAAGATTTCCCCTCAACCACCCACCCCACAGTCCATACCTGGCTCCGATTGACTTTATTTTGATTTGAAGACTTCAATGAAGACTTGGTTAGGAGCACAGCAATTTGATTAAGACGAGGACCTCCAATAATTGTGTGTCACTGGGTGGCTGAGCTCGTAAGTTGCAGAATTGACAACATAGGAATTTCAAAACTTGTCCACTGCTTTTATAAATGCCTTGATTTGTTTGGCCGCTATGTAGAATTTCAATCTATAAAATAAAATAGTTTTCTTGGACAAACTTTTTATTTTTATTCAAAAACGTTCCTTACTTTCTGAACAGCTCAGTATTACCCTACCCAGATTATTTAACATTTACATCTGTACCTATGTTGTTTCTTTTGGATGGGGTCATAAATCATTTTGCAGACAATAAGAAATCTTTACGACAGACATTACTCAGCTTTTCTCTTCTGAGAAGTAAACTAAATTGATTTTGTGTTTTAGCTTATTTATTTTAGTTCTCGGTTATTTATTAAAGGTACCGTAGTCTTCTAGTTAACATTTATAATTATTATTAGTTTCCTCATAACTGTTATTATTTGGTAGGTACCATGGTTTTTCCTTTTTAATGGTCCATAGCTACAACCATTAATGCATCTCAATGACTTATTTTTTAAATGTGAAAACTTTATTAATAAACGTGAATAAGTGTGGTATCTACTTGGTTTTGTTTTGTATTTCCCTGTATTGTTTTAATTCATTTTATTACATTTAATTGTATATTCTTCTATCAGTTTACTTTATTTTCTTGTATTATTTTGTTGTATACCGGTAGTCTTATATTGTTTAATTGTATTCTGAATATTTGTGGTAACCTAAAATTACAAATGAAGATCCTTTTAAGTTGGAATTCTATATGTGCCCTTATATAACCAACTGTACAGCTTGTTTTAAAATAAAGCCTTTTCAGTAATTTGGGTATTTTTGGGGCCTTAATTGGGTATTTTCCCAGATATTGTTTAGTTTTATGTTTTGAATATAAAATTAGTTGGATATAAATTAAGACCAAACTAAAATGACCGTTTGGAGTAAACGTTATATAGATTTTGTAGGTCAAACAGCTAGTATCAAAAACTAAGAGAGAAATAAACACCGACTACTGTGGGCCTTTGATTGCGAAGTTCTCTTATAGTATCCAAGGCAATAGTAAGCTTGTTTTACATATAGTCTAGGCATATTAGGAAAGTTAGCAGAAAGTTTAGGTACAGTCCTAATCATCACTTTTCTTTATGTTTTTTGGGTCGCTGAACACGAATATGAGGTTTGCTGACAGATATTTTGCCCGGAACATTGGTTATTTTGTGAAAAACCTTAAAATTTGGGCACTTTTTTTGGTTTTTCGGGCAAATCTCGGTAAGTATGGGTTTTTGAGAAAATCCTGCTTTGTAATGTTAAAGATGACAAAATTTACTACAAGTTTTCTATATAATGTTTGTTTCTACGACGAACCGTTTCGCCACTAGAGCACACTAAAAAAGGCCAGAACTACAAAAAACTAAAAACATTGCTAAATGCTGCCGTTTTACATTACGTTTCCATGGAAACAACCCATGTTACGATAATTTTAACTATTTATGCATGATAACAAACTGAAACACACTTAAAAATACCCCCGCCGCAGCAAACCTGCAGACTAAGCGAATTTCCATTTCCCTGATTGGATTTACACTAAAATGTCTCCTTAGAAATATCACATTTATTCCCTATTTAAATAAATGTTTAACGAGATTTGCTGCAACAGGGAGGGTAAAAAGGTGTTTTTTTAAAAAGGAAATAATTTAGTATGAAATGAATGCATTTTCCAAATTTGATCAAAATATGTTCATAAACATAAACAAGCAAACTACAACAGTTTACTTAGTATCCATAAGAATAACATGGACATTTTAAATTTACAGATTTTTGGAATTTTGTCCGTAACCATTAGGCGCATAACAACGCTTAAATATACTAAACTATTTGTTTGTTTAAGCTCTACAAAATGGTATGGAAAGAAATCGCTAAATTTTAAGTTTATATGGTCAAAAATAGGAAAAACCAATTTTTACCCCATAAAACCCCCCATAAATCCCTGTTCCCATAGTCCGATCATACTGGGCAAAACCAAAAATGAAAATAAACCCTAATCGTTTTACAAAGGTTTTACATTGGGTTTCCATGGAAACAACCCATGTTACGATAATTTGAACTATTTATTCATGATAATGAACTGAAACACACTTGATAAATCTATGCCAAGATATATGACTGACTGCTGGAACATTTCCCGTTCCCACAAAACACCCATTTATTTTCTCAGCACAGAGATGTGTCTGGCCACAGGGTTGACTGCTATAGTGGTTGAGAAAAAAGGATGAAATACATTAAAAGAGTTGTAGATAACTTTTAACTTTGGTAAGGTCAAACTCAGACGAGCAGACCGTGTCCAGCCACTTGCCATAGTAAATAACGCGATGAAAGTAGAGAATTCTTACCCGTAAACCCCAACACATTGTTTCAACGTATCAGCAACGCTAAGAATTCTGATGAAGAACTAACACACTTCTTGTCCTTCTGACAGAGAAAATTCCAAACTGTAAATTTAAAATGCCCATGTTATTCTTATGGAGACTAATAAACTGTTGTAGTTTGCTTGTTTATGTTTATGAACATATTTTGATCAAATTTGGAAAATGCATTCATTTCATACTAAATTATTACATTTTACTAAAAACACCTTTTTACCCTCCCTGTTGCAGCAAACCTAAGTACTCGTTAAACTTTTATCTAAATAGGGAATAAATGTGATATTTCTAAGGAGACATTTTAGTGTAAATCCAATCAGGGAAATGGAAATTCGCTTAGTCTGCAGGTTTGCTGCTTCGGGGGTATTTTTAAGTGTGTTTCAGTTTGTTATCAAGAATAAATAGTTAAAATTATCGTAATATGGGTTGTTTCCATGGAAACGTAATGTAAAACGGCAGTATTTAGCAATGTTTTTAATTTTTTGTAGTTCTGGCCTTTTTTAGTGTGCTCTAGTGGCGAAACGGTTCGTCGTAGAAACAAACATTATATAGGAAACTTGTAGTAAATTTTGTCATCTTTAACTTTACAAAGCAGGATTTTCTCAAAAACCCATACTTACCGAGATTTGCCCGAAAAACCAAAAAAAGTGCCCAAATTTTAAGGTTTTTCACAAAATAACCAATGTTCCGGGCAAAATATCTGTCAGCAAACCTCATATTCGTGTTCAGCGACCCAAAAAACATTAAGAAAAGTGATGATTAGGACTGTACCTAAACTTTCCGCTAACTGCCACTTATATTCCTAATATGCCTAGACTAATAGTGTTTATTTAAAACTGATCGAATTTACAAGAGCAAACCTGTAGAAGTATAAAAAAAAGCTTTAATTTTCTACTTAGTCTAATGTCTGATTTGCATAACTGCTTTGCTAAATATGCTATATGGGTTCATGAGTGATTAATTAGTTAATGGCAAACATGGTTTTCAACTATGTAGCTCGGTTGGACTCAGTACCTAAAGCATTAATACAATTTATGGGCTCCAATAACAGCTGTTCAGGCTATTTCCATTGATATAAAGCAGAAGATAAATGCACTAAAAATCTAAAGTCTAAAATTTGTTGCATATATAAACTATTTTAGCTACATCAGCACAAAATTGCAAATACACTTTTGGCTGATTTTGTTTACTTTATGTTCATATATTTTTTTTTACCTGTTTATTTAAAGAGCTAAAAAGCTGATAAACACAAAAACATAACAGTACAATAATGTTTTATTCATAACAACTGCTTTTTAGCGAATTTCCCTATAGGGAAGTAGCTATTACCGTAGGTCTCATGGTAAGACCTAGGCCCGGGACCGATTTAGTTTTTCATTTTGGTGTCCCCAGAGGCCAAAAACACCATTCGATCAAATGTATATATATTTTGATAGTTCTGTTCACTTTTTAGGGCTACTTTTTCAATCAATAAGCGAAATAATAAAAACCAGAGTACGGTACCCTGAAATTCATTTTTATTTAAACTGATGCGTATTTCGGCACTAAGGCCATGATCACAGTATGAGCTATATAAAACTATATATATATATATGTCCATCCGCACGATAACTTGAGTAATTTTTGTCCGATTTTGATAGAATTTGGTTTGAAGGTGTGGTGTAAGGCGGGATAAACTTGAATGAATTCACGAACCAGCATGATCAGACCATGGGAACGGGGTTTAAACATAAATGTTAATTTAATAGATTAATTGAAAACCAATCCAGGCAAATGGAAATTCGCTAAATCGGCAGGTTTGCTGCAGCGGGGGTATTTTACCAAATCAACAGAAACATTTTAAGTCAGAAAATGTACAGTTGATTTCCTTGACTCCAGCTGATCCCCCCCCCCCCCCCAAGGATAAAAAGAACTACTTAAGCCCCTCAATGCATGTGTAGAAAACAGCGGTATTTTCTGCAATGTGACTAAAACTATTTATAGCTACTAACAGGCAGTGCTCGATTTGTAAAAAATTAGGTGCCGAAACTGTATCCTATTTAATGTGATTAGTACCTATTTACGTACCAATTTCTACCAATATTTTTATCTTTCCGAAAGAGAGGTACCGGAACTCCGTTCTGCCGTGTTCCCCCAAAAATTGAGCACTGGCTACAGGTACTTACACAGGTACAGGTACGTTTGAAAATAAACAACCTGTACAGTCAGAACAAGGTTTAGCCAATGTATAGTAGCTTGTAAAAGACAGGGTTTCATTATAGTTACAATTATTATATTCAAGTACAAGGAAGTTTTACAAATAATTTAAAACAACTTTCAAAAGCCTCACAAGGTCTGCAGCTAACTGTAGATAACAATGGTGTGCAGTCCAAAAATGCATCAGCAGCATTCCACTTTTTGATTTACCAAGAGCTACATGAACTGTACCGTAGGAAATGAATATAAAGTAATAATAAATAAAAAATTAGTAAAGGCGATGCTCGGGTGCAGTCTACAGAGACAGGTGAGCATCATGAGCATGAATCTGTCGGCCAAGCTGGATGAGCTGCAACAACGGGGCGACCGTCAGCTGGAGACGACCGTCGCCCTGTGCGAGATACGCAGCCAGCTGCAGGAGCTCACAAAGTCTGTCGAGTCGTGCCAGTCCGAGGTGAGCGAGGTGAAGCGGGACATGGTGGCGATCAAGAACGAACTCGACACCGTGCAGCAAGTCAAAGAGGAAATAGAAGAGCTGCGGGAGTACGTGGACCGACTGGAGGAACAGACGCATCGGCGGAAACTGCGGCTGCTGGAACAGGTGCCAACCTAACCTAGATGTCTGCATGCAACAGGCGGAATGAGCCTTGCACTCTTTGTTTTCAATGTTAGTTTGTGTCAGAATGTGCCAGATTTAAGCCTCTCATACATGATCGGATTTGATCATACAGTGAGTAACAATAGTGTTGTCGGTTCAGGTGCTGAGAAATACTTTTTTTAAGGTTCGAAAGAAAATGGAGCAAGCTGTCCTTAATCATTGGGATTTCAATAAATCGTGTATGGGTGGCTTAAGACTGAAGCCTCCGTTTAATCACTGTTTGTTTCCGTTTTTGTTTTCGATGCACCTTACTTTACCTCTGGAAATAGTGGGGGTCACAAAAATTGTGAGTGAAAGCAATAAATCAAATTTAGCTCTTAAATTTTGTATTTTAGAATAGTTTTTATCCGTTTGTTATTGTTCTGTTTTCTGATTTTTCTTTGTGTAGAATCAGGTAAAAAGATATTGCCAACAAATGAGGACTAAATAAACAAATCTATTTTTAGTTTAGTAGACTTTATTTTCAGTTAGTTATGATTACGTAACACTAGGAATTCTGGAAAATGTTTAACCTAACAGTGTAATAAATATGTAATTTAGAAAGTTTTAATTTAAATAACCGAGCATAACCAAACATGTCTAAACATTTTGCATGAATAATTTTACTGTTATTTGTGTTTTCACTGATTACTGGTAAAATTCCACATGAAAATCCAGACCAATCAAAATGTGTATCTCAATTAAATCTATTCTTATTTTAGTTAGGACTTTCTCAATCTAAAAACATGTAGGCACATTTTATCACTACTTTTCTGATAGTAAAATAACCTACTAACAAATCATATTTATTAACCATTTATTGTAGTATCAGAGAATTTCAGATCTAAACAAGTTTCTAAAAACATTTATTTTACCTAAAACAAAGTTACCACATTAAAAACCGTAATTCAAATAAAAAAAAAACTAAATAATTAGTGAAAGCAACTGTTACAGCTTGCAAGAGAGGTTTTGCCTAGTTTGTATACAAGGTACATACTAACAACCAATTGTCTATCTATGGCAGCTACAGCATTATGGACAAAAGGCAAAAGGAGTGGTAACTATGGTTCATTGTTGCTGGTTTGCTATGTACGATGCATATTATTGGCTTTGTGCCATTAGTGCTCTATAATATATGATAGGCTTAGATATACATAAACGTGACAAATTAAATGCTTGATTAAAAATAATTTTTGCATCCCGAAACAATGCAGTCTAAAATTTTGAATGAGCGCTTAACCGGAATTGCATTCTTAGATTGTAGTCGGAGAGAAAGACTTTTTTGGGATTGCATCAAGGAAGCACAGAAAGGTTAGACTGTGAGGTTCACTTTCGTAGGGTTCTAGTTATGATGGTAGATTAAGTAATTGTAGTTTTATATACGTTGAACCATAATTTGGATATGTTCAATAATATTTACAAAATATTCAGATTTTATATTTGTTTGATGTGAAAGAGTGAGAAAATAGTTACTTACCTTAACCAGACCAATAGCTATTATTACTATTATTATTTTATCCTTTTGATTTTGTTTAATAAAACAATTTATTATGTATTAAAAATATAATAAACAAATTATAGCATTGATAATAATACCAAATTAGTTTTACAATTAAATATTTATATATCCTATTAAGTAAGAATAAACTCCATGACAGGATAGCAAATGTTAAAATTTGTTGTATCGTTATTGGTTATTGGTTTTAAGTTTAACGAACCACACTTATGTATGTTTTCGTTTTATAAATTTGACTTAATGAGGCATTTTATTATTACTATACAATGGATCTTCCTGACCTATATACAGTGGACATTTCTATACTGTAGAATATACAGTAACCCATTTATTATTGGTATTTACATTTTGAATACAAAAATTCTCACTATACCAACTGTGTTCTTTCATAACTAAACTGTTAATATTATTATTTAATAAACATCAAATATTTTCTTTTAAAACCAAAGATAACAAATAATGTACTCTCAATCACTTTAATACCTATAGAATACGTATGTAAAACGGTATCAGCAATATAACACATACTTTTTCCCATTAGCTTTATCATGGGGGTGTTTATCATGGGAGTGGGAGTATGATATTTAATAGTGAAAATCACAAAAGTTGAATTAGCGTTATAAGGACCATACTAATTTAATCAAAACAAGCTTTTTCAAGAATCCAATTTTTCGTTATTTTATGGGAAAATAACATCAGTTACAATCCCTTTTGAACCGTAATTTGTGCAAAAAAGTCAATGATATAACATACTAAACCGTTATCAAAATCGTTCATGCCATTTTTGAGAAAATTCAATTTTTTCATTATTTTATGGGTTTTTATAGGACAATCACCATTAAAAACCAAAATTTTTTTAAAATATGAAAAAACGCCCAAAGACACTATAAGTTAGTACCTACATACAAAATTTAATCAAAATCAAACTGCATGTGTCGTCTGTAGCTTTGTACACATCCACAGACACATACACAAGCACACACACACACAGACATCACTTCGAAAACCACTTTTTTGGGTTCAGAGGGTCCCAAAACAAATATATCCACTCAAAACTCAAACTCAAAAATGTTGGCGAAAACAATAAGTACCTTCTCCATGTGGTATATGGGCAGAAAGAAAAATGAGATTACGGTAGGGTAACTAATATTCATAGTGTATAATTTACTGTTTGTCAACTAATAGTCTTTTATAATTTGCTTTTACGTGTGCTAATCAGTTGTGTTGTGGCGTGGGAACGTGTGTGAATGGCGTTCCCACTCTGCTTTTTCCAAAGAACCTATATATTGGTAAGCGACCTGTTCTGTGAAATGGTGAGCATTCCAACACTGGAAAATTTACGACTACACCACTGGTGTTAATCATAATTTTATGAAAGCAATCATAATTGAACATAAATCTATCAAATCAAAATTGTTAATATACTCACACTGTATTTGTAAAGTGTATGCCCTACTGTATATTTTATCAGATAAAAATATGTTGCAGTGTTAAATCTTTTCAGGAATATTCCAGCTGCCACTTGGATGGATTGGAGTTTTTGTTTAGTCGCATGTGCATGTAAACATTAGTTGTAAATTTGACTCTCAATGTTGTTTTACAGATTTATCTAAGAAAGCTTTAACCTTTTCCGTATGGAAACAGTTAGGGTATTTTCATTCATTAGTTTTGCCAAGTGAAATGAATCTGCATGATTGTTTTATCATTTTGAATGAAAAATGTATATTGTATTAGAAATTCAAAATACTATAGGGTTGATTTTTGGAATAGTTGGCTAGGTGGTTGTATACATATTGTCTGATTGATTTAATTTTGAATGCTGATCTACTTGCTTAAGATAGTTGGTGTGGTTTAATATTTAAAAAGCAATAGAATAGAACTTTATCGTCAACAATAAACATTTATTTTCAGTGTTCCAGCACAGCCGGGAAAACAGGTGACATTGTCGAGATGTACCTTAAACTTTATAAACTATGTTTTGTTATCTAATTTTTTTAAATATTCAAGGAGATTGCAGGTTTTATTTAGATTAGCACTAAACATTGTAACGTCTTAAGAAAAGTCTCTTTTAGAAAAGCTCATATTGAAAGTTTAATCGTTTCTGGGTGAGTTCACCAATCTTGAAGAGAGCTGTTAAACTCTATCTTGTAAAAAAAAAACGGTGTATTTAAAGATGAGGAATCTTATTTATGACAACAACTAGCCTTATGATGATTTTTAAACCTACGAATACGTACCTATATTTGTCGTGCAACACATTATTGCATATTCTGCATTTCTTTCAGATTGATAATAATTCTTCAGGTAAAACATTGTATAAAAGAACAAATCATGTTTCCGGTACACAAAGTATCAACACAAGAATGTTTACGATTGTTGTTTGGAAGGGGCAAAAATTCCCCTTAAACTGTATCATTTAACCCTGAGACTTGCATTTCAGTAATAAAAAAAATACTAAGAATGATTGTTTGTTATGATTGTGGTTTAAAAAAAACAAAAATTAACTTTGAACATTTTTGTTGATCCTCAAATCTTGTGTTTCAGGGTCTGACGTTTTTCCTGTGTTATACGATCCTCGCCGCTATGCTGGGAATGTTGCAGTTCGGCTACAACACAGGCGTCATTAATGCTCCTGAATTTGTAAGTTGTTCTTATTGCTTACTACCTAATCTGTATTTTTAAATTATAATTCTAGTATTCTTGAAATAAATAAGCAAAGTCACTGATTAGGATATTGTATTAGGAATAGAGTATAGACTAGCTTACCTGAGAAAATCAGATTCCAGAGTTATTAGACAGTAAAAATTTGCCTTACACTGATACTAAGCAGTTGAAGAGAAAAGATTTTCTAATTCACATTCAGGAAATTTGATCAAATGAAATAGTAACAATTTTAACCCTTTGGGTCCCAAAGATACAGGGTCTCTTGCAACCACATGAACAAACTTTGTCACGTTATTCAGCATGTTAAAAGAAACAAAAAATGCAATATAACCTTTTTTTCCTCATCTCATTCCGTTTTCGGTCTGTCTGTACGTAATTTTTACAAAAACTTTCATATTGAGCTATAGCATTGAAATTCTGTAAAAATGATAATCTTTTTGACCACTATTTTTTTGCTAAATATAAATAAAAACTCTTGAACCGTTAAAAAATGGCGGCTTTATATAATATCTTATGCCAAATTCTACAAAAACCGTTAATTTCACAAAATATTTGCAGGATATGTAAAATGTGTAAAATGGTACCTACAGTTTTCTCCATTTAAACAATGTTGTTAAAACTACTTTTTAACATTGTTTAAATAATGGAAGAAACTGAAGGTATGGCAAGGCAAAAATCTATTTCTCCATTATTCTTTGCCCAAAATAAGCTTATAAGGTATCGTTGTTATCTGCATGAAATTTACTAAATGTTACGTCAATATTTTGTAAAATTAACGGTTTTCATGGAATTTTGTATAAAATATTTTTAAAAGCCCCCATTTTTAAGCCGTTGAAGAGTTTTTATTCATATTTTGCACAAACATAGTGCTCAATAAGATAAACATTTTTACAGAATTTCGACGCTGTAGCTCAAACAGTTAAGGAGTCATAAATATTTTTGTAAAAATCCCATACAGACAGATAGACCGAAAACGGAATGAGATAGGACACATGTTATATTAAATTTTTTGTTTCTTTTAACATGCTGAATAATGTGAAAAAGTTTGTTCATATGGTTGCAAGACACCCTGTATATCTACCATCAAGAGAGCAGCATCACCAAACCTCCACTTACAACTCTTTATGCCCAACTCAATAAAACCGTCTTAAATGTAACATGTACTGCTTGAAGAATTCAATCATAGTTATTTCCATTTGGTTTTGGGGTTTACCATTTTTGTTAGTACTGTGGATTTAATCCAAATTCAGTAAAACTATCTACTTGCAAACTATTACTAGTGTTACAACAATGAACGAGTAAGCTTACAATGTAAAAACTGCCCTTAAATAAGAAAAAATGTTCTGAAATTAGCACAATCAAACGTGACATGAAACCTAAAAAGCAGAGCAGAGATTTAATGTTAGAATAACATGATGAATCAGTTTACAATAGGTAAACAAATTTAATTGTGTAGAGTGGATAATACGATAATACTCAACCCAAAATCAAAAGAGGTTTGACTATTTATATTATTAAATTTGTAAAAGATAAAGAATACTTTATAGAAGTATAAGAGACTAGTGAAGTATGATCTGAATGATAAAGATGTCACTGATGATTCAAAAGTTGATTGTAATTGATTTAGTCATCCGAGTGCTGTCACCCAACATGTGTGCAGCTGTTTTGAAGCTATAAACACATTGCTCTCCCTTGAGCCAGTTTCTGATTAAGAGGTGTATTATGTATGCCGTTCTGAACAACACAGTTAAAGTATTGCTTACACTAACTGAACTATTGTTGATCAACTACAATAATTTGTTCCATGTTTTCATACATTTCATTTGCATATTGATGAAATCAGTTAGTTTCTATAGCTTATTTTCTTAAAATAAGTTCTCAAAAATGTAAAAAAAAAACAGCTAAATTGGCCACTCACAGATTTTTCTACATACTGAAATCCTTATTTATTCTTTTAGCGAATTTCCCATACAGGGATTAAGCCATTATCGTAGGTCTCATGATGAGGCTTCATGGTGAGGGACGGCTTTACTTTGTCGTTTTGATGTTTTGAGACTAAGAACATCTGTTCAAATTCATTTTGTGTGTCCATTAATACTTTTAGGTATTTTAAGCCAAGTATGGATGGAGATTAGTGTAGGATAAGTGGTGCGATCTTGTAGTCTTGGTAGGCTGACATGTTCCTTAGACACGGCTGTCAATTAATAGCCCATACAAGGCAAACTAAGGGACCTAAGCCTTATAGTGGAATCCACACTTTGCCTTGTAATTAATGAATTGGTCTAATTATCAGGATATAGTACTGAGCCGTGACTAATTCCACCGGCGAATGTCACGACTCATAATCAACGGTCAAATTGTGGATAGTAGTAGTACTCACTAGTGCGGACTTTAATCCACACCAGGGAATATCTCATCCATAGTGCATGCCTATAAATATCCACAATTCGTTACCAAGATTAGAATGATAAATTGAGTAAAAATAATTTGATTTTGGTGAAATTAGGTACAAATGTGTAAACCTACGTTAATTCAAACAAGTTTACGAACCACTATGTTTGGACTAAGAGAAGAGGGTGTAATGGGGTAAAATTTGGGTATTCCCATTTCAACCAGCAAAACATTTTTTTTTCCTAAACTATTTTGCAAAGCTTAGAAATCAAAGTACATTAAGTAATTAAAGCGTTATTGTACATCTAATAGCTACAAAGAATTTTTCTATTTATGTTAGCTTCCCATGTTATTCTTAGAGAGAAAAAGTAAACTGTTGTAGTTTGCTTGTTTACACATATATTTTGATAAAATTTGCAAATTTAGTCATTTGAATCCATGCTATTAACATTTCAATAAAACACACTATATTACAGTCCCTGCAGCAGAAAACCCAAGTACTCATAAATCTTAATGTTATTTCAATACAGAATAAATCGCACAATTATAAGGAAATATTTGAGTGAAACCCCAATTAAGAAATTGGAAATTCGCTTAGTTTGTAATTTTGTGCGGGTTATTTACTGTGATGGTAGTTTATGTATATCAGACATAAAATATGCAAACTACATCTCGTTTGACCTATTTGTCTTTGTATTTGTGGTTAACAACATAGAAGTTAGTATGTATGGCCTTCATAAAACCAAATACCTCAGGGGAATGACAGTTTATTTTACACACACTAAAGCAGATCAACTTTTAAAAAGACCTTTTGTTAGTTATCAATTTACTGGATGATGGGTGATAAAGTTAAGGCTGTATTTATGATTGCCAGAAGTTCAAATAGTATCAATCAGTTTAAATTTTATTTTTATTGTGTTGCTTTAGAGAGATTTTAAGTACAAACATTATGCATTATATTACTTGAAGAATTTCTTGCCGTTCTATCACGTCTATATTCTAAAACATAACCCTAAGTCTAACAATAAGGTTGATTTTCCAACTTAGCAACCACCAATTTTTTTAGGATTTTAAAGTAAGTATCGATTTGTAAAAGTATTTCTGACAACCGATTTGTATGTTCCAGAATATAGAGAACTTTATGAAAGATGTGTACAAAGATCGCTACGGTGAGGATCTGCAGGAAGAGTCGGTCAAGTTGTTATACTCGTTGGCAGTGTCGATATTTGCAATCGGAGGAATGTTGGGTGGATTCAGTGGCGGAGTCATTGCAAATAAGTTTGGAAGGTTAGTGGAATTTGTTTGTGAAATTTTGCCCAGTTTGCCTGTCATCTGGGCCATCGTGGACTGGTTCATTTATATAATGCCACGTTTTTACTTAGTGGAATAACTTAGTCTGCTACACACGCTCAATTAGGGTTGTCAGTTAGAATTGTCCATTTCCAAATTATGCCATAAGTTAAAATGTAACGCTTCATCTTATACCAATCGTTTGAACAAACTTTTGTATAAATATGGCCAGTCAGGCTTGCTCACATAAAATTGAACATTGTAGCAGGCTTTATAGAGTAATTAATTTTAACTCGACAACAGTGACATTGATTTTAAAACACTATAGAGATGATACTGAGAGTTTTTCTTGAAGTTATAAAATCATGGCAAAAGGTGTATAATATACAGTTTAGATTAATGAGATAAATATACATACATTGGACACTTTAGTGAGACTATGAAAAGTACTGTACGAGAAAACCACTAGAGGTGACTCATGGAACTAAACTCCAGGAAACTTGATTGCATGAGGTAAATGAACCTTGTACGCAATACTCAGTAGCGACTCAAGATACGGTCACAGAATAATATTTTGACTGAAAGTAATAGGGTACAATAGGCGCATTTAGTCTGAGCGCGCGGCCGTGCTAGGGCCCAGGGTGTAGGGGGGAGTGTGTATTGCTCATTTCCAAAAACATCTGGCCCACACGTCTCTGGGGTTGTTCAGCTGTCTTCATGAGGCGTGGTGGAGGGGGTGGGTGAAATGTACACAGGACGGCTAGTAGGGACAGAACCGCACGCCCAGTCTGCTTGCGCTTACAGTAGTGTGGGGGGATTTTGGAAAGTAAAATTAGGTCGAGTCTGTTCCAAGGAAGATAAGTGTGAGGCCTGGTGACTTTCACGACTGCCGACTGGCAAAAACACATATATTTTTACTAAAATACCTAGTTAAACCTAGAGGAAAACTGTGAAGTCACCTCTAATTTTGTCCTTAGTTACCTACTGTAGATGAAATTTTTGGATGTCAATACAGGAAAGACACACAACTTGCCATGAAGTTGTGGTGTGAAGCAAAAAACCGTGGCTCATCTCTTCGGTAAATTCTCGTGGAGGTCTAGTCAATTAGATTGTAGAACAAGGTCTTTTAGAGTTTTGTGTTTTACAAATTATTTTAGCATAGTGTGATGGTCAACAACGCGCAAAGTAAAACTATGTAAAGGGGATACTTGAATTTTAACCAATCAACTAAAGGATGTAGTGCTAATAATTAAAACAGGCCAACAATTAAATATAAATTGACTATCAATTAATTGTCAAATAGTATACAGGGTGAATCAGACCACACGTGCACATACTATTGACGGGATATACAGTCGCTTGTGTAACTCACTGACTCGTTGATCCAACTGACTCAGGTATACAATCGTTTACCCACTTCTAGAATAGCTAGGGATCTGAAATTTTTTGTGGAGGTCCGTCTCGGTACCAAACTACCAGGAAAATCTAAGGAGTTTTCCGAAAATTGCACTCCTTCACCTTCAAAAAGCGTCCTACTTCCAAAAATTGGAAATTTGGGTTTTTGTAATGTTTTTAAATTATTTTTCAGAGATATATTTGTGTTTTTAATGCTCCCAACAACGAAATAAAAGTACCTAAAGTGACATTTTAAATTGTAACCAGCTAAAAATAAATTTTAATGGCAGATTTTCAATAAAAAACGTTGGTTTTTAACCCTTGTTGGGCCAAACCGTTGTGCACGGGAGGTCTGATCCCCCCTGTATAACCAGTTTATTATGTTATGGTTTTGGTTTTTTTTTCAAATTGTAAGGCAAAAGTAATAAAATATTTCAGTTAATATACAAATGATTCTTTTAAAACACAGCTATTATTGTTAGCGAAAATTACATAGATTGTCCTCTTTTACACATGACAACTTGATTTGTTAACAAAACAATAGGAGTGTTGACAAATTTGTTGAAACAAAATTTACTGTGCAATCCAGCAAGCGATTTGGTTAATTATTGATAATGAACATATGTTTATCCTTACAGAAAGGGTGGCCTGTTGCTGAACAACATTCTAGGAATTTGTGGAGCGTGTATGATGGGATTCACGAAGATAATGCATTCGTATGAATTGCTTTTTCTTGGTCGTTTTGTTATCGGAGTCAATTGTGGTGAGTAGAGTACCGGTACCGGTAGATTATTTGATATAATGGAATTTTTTTGTGTAAAATCTGTATTTCCAGCTGATATGTAGACTATAATTAGTTGCACAGTAATACATAACACATGTAAACCATGTTATGACATTTAGGCTAGACAAGCCCTGAGTGAAAAGGAATGGTCAAAATATAACAAATATTACAGTTAATGTAAATTTTACTTATACGGAAGACTCTTTATCATTCAAAATTGTTGGGTCAAAAGCATATAAATTTGAATTATCAAGAGTTTTGAATTGTCATGAGGTTTGATTTATCGAGTGAAAAATAAACCATTTGAATTACAGAGAGTTCATTTTTTAAATACTGTATTATGTGAATGTGAGCTAGGTACCGGTACAGAACATTGCAATTAAAAAGCTTATTTTAGTCACTTTATAACAAACAATAGCAATTATAATTTGGTTAGTTACAAAAAATCTGTAATTTTTATTTGCTTTTTGATATTGATTCTTGCGTCATCAATGCTGTTATTTAAGACAAACTACTGTGCTAAAACGATGTATAGTTTCCTGTTACGACAGGAAGAAATTTCCCCCTTCGATTTATAGAGTGTTTTGCCGACAAAACTTTGAATTACTGTGAGTTCCAAATTGGACTTTAAAATACCGAGCGTGTCAAAATGCATGGTGAAACTTCAAAATATCAAAAGATTCTCTATAGACTGAGCTTTAATTTTGAATTATCGAAAGTTTCGACTTATCGAGTGTTTGAATTACCAAGAGTAGACTTCACTAATGTGCTGTATAGCTTGAATGACTAAGTTTTAAATTAAAAAGGTGGGTCCAAATAAAAAGGCAGGTGTAACCTATCAAGTGTTTCTTAGAATAACTATACAGAGAAGTAAAATACAGAGGAAATATGCTTTTGGACCACAGTAGGCTGGAATGGTGGCTTTTAGCTCTGGAATGGTGTGCGGAAATAGTACCGAGTACCGAGCAAGGAAGAGCCTGAACGGCTATTGTTTACAACAGCAGTTGTAGCTCACAGGCTCTTCCTACAGCATGGGCACTGTAGTACAGGATGGTGAGGGGGGAAAGGAGAGCGGAAGGGGACCACCAATCGAATTTGAACTAGACAGAAGCGACTGGTGCTAGACTTGACTTAAGTGTACCAATGAATGTTTAATCTGTATCTTACTTCTCTGTGAAATAACTTAAGACCAATAACTTGTGTTGTTGTGCATAATTTACACAGTAACTAAATTTAAAGTTTGTTAGTAACAATGTGCCATCAATCGCAATGTCCATTGTCAATTTTGCATCCACCTCTTTTTCCTGTCAATGACTGCATTATTGTCTCTAACACATTGCAGCTTGCACGCTTGTACTTGTGCAGGTTTAAACACGTCGTTAGTGCCGATGTACATTTCCGAGATTGCGCCGCTGAATCTCCGAGGGGGGCTAGGAACTGTCAATCAGCTGGCCGTCACAACGGGACTTCTCATCTCACAAATCCTCGGAATCGAACAGATCCTCGGCACGGATGACGGGTGGCCTGTGCTATTAGGTAAAATATTTTCAAACAGTGCTTTTATGTTAAGGATTTATGCAAGGTTTACCTAGTAGTTTTCTGTATGATTTTCATCAATTATTTACGAGTTACACTATATGGTTGTCTACTTATTTGGTATTCAATTAAAACTCCTAATCCTTTAGATTTGACTTTTGTAGTAAAGAATCCAGCTCCCATGCTAATTCAATAGATGTTTCTGGTATTTAAAAACAGTTAAATATTTGTCAATTACATTGTTATTAGTTACATATTTACATATAAAAGGAAAGCCATACCTTTGATCATGGAGAGTAAAGTAGTAGAAATCCTTTTCATCTGTTAAAGCTGTAACCATTTATGGAATGAAAATAAACATATTGTTGAATTAATCCACCGACTGAGTGTTGATGTAGAATTGACATACAACGACTGTTTTACAAGCCAAAGAAAGAACATCTTACTCTACTAGATTTTATGTCACATAAGATATTGAATTTTGACAGCAGCACACACTCTATGATCAGTTTATTTAACTATGTTCAATTAACGTATCAAATTGAATACAGCTGGTTCATATAGAGTGGATGTATATCCTATCTAAAAATCAATGGTTATACGTTTGGTTAAAAGTCAATAGTTGTAATTAATTATTTTTTTTAGTTATATGCGTTTCAATAAGGTAATGTAGTCGAATTTTAATAACAGGAGACTTAAAGAGTTGAAAAATGTTAAGGAGTAAATTTATGATAAAAATAATAAATTATCTACCATAAAACTAATTCGTAGTTTCATGCTGCATGAATGTGGTCAGATTCAATTTTATTACGGTAGCAATTATTTACAAGTTAAGCAATGGGTCCTGCTACTTACAACTAATTTTTTTATATGTTTGTTACAAGTTAAGCAATCTGCCCTGCTATTCTACAACAGATTTTTTTTTTGTTTGTTATAGGTTTAGCAATCTGCCCTGCTATTCTACAACAGATTTTTTGTTTGTTTGTTATAGGTTTAGCAATCTGCCCTGCTACTTTACAACTGTTTTTTTGTTTGTTACAGACTTAGCAATCTCTTCTGCTATTTTACAACTGATTTTGTTTTGTTTTTGTTTGTTATAGGTTTAGCAATCTGCCCTGCTATTTTACAACTGATTCTGTTACCAGTGTGTCCAGAATCACCCCGTTACCTCTTAATACAAAAACAATGGGAAGAAGAAGCAAGGAGAGGTAACATATGTTTTTCTTTAAATAATATTTGTTTAATTAAAATCACTATATGTGACTTAAATAAATGTGGCAAAATCTTCTATTTTAATTATTCCCTAACCATTTTTATGAATGCTCATAGCACGTTGAACATTTAAACAAAGAAACAGAATCTTGGCGTAGACAAATCGATAGCATTTTAAATTTTTACAATGATATTACCTAATATGAATTCACCTAAGAAAAGAGTTTGAGTTATTTCATCATACATGAAAAGTTCCTGACAGACATAACACTAGCACTAGACGTTTCATTTCTCTAGGGGGCTCCTTCAGAAGATTATAGTAGAATCACATAAAAACGTTGAGTAGCCTAAATCAAAGAAACTTGCTTGCTTAATTATTTTGTCCAAAAGAGACCAAAAAAGAGATGTCGCGGAGACTGCAAGTTACGCTGACGTGTGTGTCCGCAGTTGCAGGAGACGATTACGCATGTCGCGGAGACTTAAAGTTATGCTCACGGCTGTTGCCGCAGTCACGGGAGACGATTACCGAAGTCGCGGAAACTGTAAGTTACGCTCACGGGTGTTTTCGCGGAAGACGATTACCGATGTTGTGGAGACTGTAGGTTATGCTCCTCTCAATATCCGACCATGGCCGGATATGAGGGTTTCTACTGTAGTTTCTTTCTTTAGGGGTACTTTATAAAACTGTTTTTGCTCCAGTTCAGCCGATACTGGATGATTTACTCCTCGATGATATTTTAAAATCACCTGCAATGGCCAAATTATTAAAACTCTGCTGATCGTGGCTATTTGTGTAGCGTTAAGAAGACTAAGAGCGTCGAACAACGTGGAAGAAGACATCGAAGAGATGCGAGCAGAGCAGCGAGCGCAACAGTCGGAGTCCACCATCTCCATGATGGAGTTGATCTGTTCTCCGACACTGCGATCTCCGCTGATCATTAGCATCGTGATGCAGCTCAGTCAACAACTTTCTGGCATCAATGCTGTGAGTATCAACTGAATGACAAAACATCAAACCCAAGCTGAAAGAGGTTGTCTATTTTTCTAATTGTTCAGGATACAGTAATTAACTCGGTAATCATCGACATTATTCTTCTTGTTCCTTCTGTCTTTTTTTTACTTCCTGCTCATTCTTTCATTTATTCAACAAATGAATTTTTACATCTCAAGGGCTCTTTTTCTTCAATCTGGGTTTTCAGATTTTCTGGTGCTGCTTATTTGTCATTTTTAGATCCAATTTTTCCTTTTCCTGCAGCACCTTCTTTACTTTCTCGAGCCCCTACCAGAAGCCGCCTCTGGTGAATGTTGGGGATGGAGTAGCCTTTGGAAAGCTATTGGCTGAAATACCAGAGGCAACGACATTCTGACACCACTAGCAGGGCCGGATTTACCATTTTGGCCCCTCTAGGCCCAAATAATTTTCCGCCCCCTAGTCTGGTCACAGTTACTTTCCTTCAAACCTTTATTAAAAACTATATAATGCCTATAGGCCTATGGTAATTGCTTGAGTACCACTCAAATTGAATTTTATCATTGCAAGTTTTTTGAAGAATTTACTTGTTTAGATTTAACAAAATGTTGTCTTAAAAAAAGTACTTTTAGCAATTTTATAGTTTTAGTAAATATTCACGTTTGTGTAACTGAGACTGAAACAAAACAACTCAATCCACAGAGTATTCCTGCAAAAAAAACATGGCCATTGATTCCAATTTCAGGCCCCTAGGCTACTTGAGTTATGTTAAATCTATAATGGTAGACGGTGGTACTGTATCTAGATTATATTTGCAAAGCAAAACAAAGCAATATGCCGGCCATCTACACCGATCTGTCATATAAAACCTACTGTATTGGCCTAAAATCATGTTTAATCTGTTTTTAAGTATCCTAAAACCTTCTTAAAACCAGGTTACAAAAGTGTAATACACTCCACTAACACCAAGTTTCATCTTAGACATGTCACAAAAGGATTGGCAAGTACAAAATGTAAAACAATTAAGAGTTTAACTTGGTAAAATGTTTCAAATAATTAGTATACTCGCAATATTAAATTTTTATTTTCAAACAATTTTTACATGTAAAAGTTGTTATTTACTAAAACACTTTCTATACACATAGTTTTTTTTTGTTCCAGGTGTTCTATTATTCTACAAATTTGTTTATAAGTTCGGGTCTGACTGAGGAGACGTCAAAGTTCATGACCATAGGTATAGGTGCGATAATGGTGGCGATGACTTTAGTGATAATGCCTTTAATGGATCGAATGGGAAGACGAACTCTGCATCTGTACGGACTCGGAGGCATGTTCATAACCTCCATCTTCATAACAATCTCCTTCTTGATAAAGGTGGGTCCGATAAGGTGTATTATACTTTAGTTACCGGTATCTTAGCAAAAATTGGGTCTGAAAGCAAATATCACTCAAGTTGTAATATAAAAGTGGATGGGATAGCAAATATCAATCATTTAGTTCTAGTTGTTATTCTTTTATATAATAAATGTGAGTATGGATATTAAGTAGTTTAAATACCGGTACCTGTTCAACTACAATATCAGTAATACAATACGGTTGTGGTACATTCTTGTAATACATAGTCCGATAATGGAAGTATTTTATTCACATTACAGTTAATCCCAGTAATCAAGAGACAATCCAATTTTGAAATGGAACAAATATCACTATTTGTAAGGGTTTGAAAGAAAATCTTACTCTTTAAGTTGTTCAGTTATATTGATACAGTGTGGGTTTGTAAGCAAAAAATCTCTAGTTGATCGATAAATGTGAGTTTGATAGAAAATGTCACTATCTAGTTTAAAGAGAATGGTGGGTCTGATCATAAATATCCTTTGGGTTGAGCAATAAAGTTGGATCTGATATACACAATTGTATGATTAAGGTGGGATAGCAAATATAACTCATGTGATAAAAGGTAAATGTGATAGCAAATATCACTGTAGTTGACAGTTGTGTAGTAAGAGTTGGAAATGATAGCAAATATCAGTTCATTAAGGTTTACACCAGCGGTACACGTATCACCAATAATTTTCATTATTTTCAAGCCATAAAGAAATTAATTTTAAGTGAGATATAATTGTTACTTTACTACTGATGTCATTTTACCACTGTAAAAGAAGTTATCAACAAGGCATTTAGGTGACCTTACTCTACAAATAAAGCTAGTAAAAGTCTGTTAGTCTTAAAAAAAAAATAAAAAATGGCTTGAACTCACAGTTTAAAGAAACAAAAAATGCCCTTGCATGTGAACGAAGACATCCCATCTATATGGATCAGCTGTCGCCAGTTTTTTACTAAAAACGAATGTAGTTGTGTGAGCCAGTCACAGATTGCTCTGGTGTCTAAAACTCTATTTTGTACCTTATTTTTTGTTACTGACATAGTTGCTGGGTCTTAACAGTTGCTATAGCTCATAATAAGTCATTCCATCAGTTTGCCTTGGTAATAACCATCGTGTAATCGGCAGAAATCAGTAATTTATATCAGCGCAATCTGTAGGTGGCTCACATCAACTAAGACACATTTGAATAAAAAGCTGGCGATAACTTTAACATGGGGATGGAATGTCTAGTTGTTGTATTAATAGTCAAAGATGTGAACCGAGCTGTTAAATATTTTTTGCAGCTTCCATAAACAGGAAAGTTTCTAACCAATTTTTTGTCATTTAACCAATTCTAAGGGACCTTTTGCCTTGACATCATTTGAATTTGTGATAAATTCCAAAGATATTAGCTGTACAATTAATAATTAAACCTTTCATAGGCGACACCACTGAGTTTTCCTCTGGGCGCATATAGATAAATATGTAATCGCCAGCCAGCAGTTTTAAGAATATTAGTACATTACATGCATCTTTTTAGGAACCGATTGACCATTATTTTGCTCTCAAACCTACCCCGCAAAATCCCTATTAATCAGTTGAAGCCTAAAGAATCACATAGCACAGAGCTTGGCTCCGTGAGTCACCGCTCGCACAGTGGATTTCCGGAGTGTAGCTCCGTTTGTCACCGATATATTTTTATAAATATGTAAAGTAAGAGTTTTTATTGATTTCAGGCATCTAAACTTATACGTTGAGCTACATACCAAAGGATAAAATTTTATTTTAAAAATAAATGCCATAAATGCCACATATTAAAAAAAATATTTTTGCCTTAGTTGATAATACCTATAGATGTTAGAATCATAGTTAGGTTATGTAGGCTAAGTTTATTTTTATTTGCTGATTTATAATTCTATAATTGCTTATCCAAGAAAGTTTTAATATTTCGAGATTTTTCTCATTAGTAAAGTGTGAAAAACATTTTCAATTACTCGTGTACTTGGTTTAACCTGAAATGTGTATAGCCTGTTAAAAAACTTAATGTTGTCTTCAAGTAAACATTTCCTAATGATCAGTGCATTTTTAATCAACACAGAACTTAATTTATTACGCTCTTGGTATAATTTTTAGATGCACACCTATTTAAAAAAGGATTTATTTGAAAAATTCTCTTATTTTAAAAACTTTTTAACATATTATTTTAACATTATATTAACATAGTTTTAAAAAGCAAACTTAGTTTTTTTCAACAATTTAGTTCTAGGCTCTAAAAAGACCATTGTGTGTTTTTCCACAAAAAAAGAAGTAGAAAAGAAACATAATAAATGTAAATTTAAATTTTGTCTCTTTCATTTATACATCCAATGTACAAAACTTTGGATAAGCAATCAAATTCTTTTCAGTTGCTTCTTACCCTTTTTATTTTGCAACCCATAAGTCTTTCTAACACTGCAGGACGATGTATAGCCATGTTTCATTTTACTTTTCTTTCCGAAGGGTGTTTATCGCTGGCTATGCAAGTCCGAAGTCAGCTGTTGGATAGACGAGCACGGTTCTACTGTCTGATAGGAGTTTTTTGGTTATGTTCAGGAGATGATCGACTGGATGTCCTACCTGTCTGTTGTCTCGACGCTCAGTTTCGTGGTGTTCTTCGCCCTCGGTCCCGGCTCCATTCCGTGGATGATCACTGCCGAGTTGTTCTCCCAAGGTCCTCGACCCGCGGCAATGTCTATAGCAGTTCTTGTCAATTGGATGGCAAACTTCATTGTTGGAATCGGTTTCCCAACGATGAAGGTGAGTATTCAATATTGTGCGATTTTGTGTCAACACTTGGAATAGCAGGTTGTTTTATTTTCTATCTTTTAAGAATTGGATGAGAACGTTGAATATCATTATCTACTCTTTGACTGTAAAAACAAAGCTTTAGTAAAGGCTGACTCCTTTGCTAGGTGAGGGTGAGTTCTTTCAGTTGCTACTTAAATCAGACAGTTTTGCTAATGTTGTGTGTCTGATGCTTACTGTTTGTGTGTTCCCTAGAGACTTGCTTGAAAATTATTTAGATTTTACATGTTTATAAAGAGAGAAACATCTAAGAAAACATTATAAAAAAACACTGTTAAATCACTGAATAATGGTATTCAAGGGATTTAGGATCAAAACCATCACAGCACACAATCATCATAGCTGTGTTGACCAGTCATTTTTATGTCACTGTTTGAAGATCAATTTTATCTGTAAACTAGCAACTGGGTCCGTTATGGTTAAATACAACGGTCTCTAGAAAAATAGTACTAATATATATGCATCCATCTACAAATGCAAATTGTAAACTACAAAATGTAAAGAAAGAAAAATCAAGGAAATAACAATACAACAATCAGCTGTTACATTATTAACACATGTTCCAAATGATCAGATGATGCAAACCACGGATGAAGCTTTCCATTGACTTAATTAATAAAGTTTATCTAGTAGAACTGTAGATTTAGTATTAAGTTTAACAAAATTATCTCTAATTCAGTATTCTCTCACCACTGTAAATTTGGAGGTTACTTAGCTTTTTTGCAAATAACTTTTAAATGGTGAGGAAATCGACTAAAGTGGAAGGTGGTGTTCTGAAAGAGAATACAATTTTCTACAAATTGGTTCTAGGATCTCTTGAAAATATTCAAAAAAGGCAGGCAAAAGTGGCCTCCAAATGAAAATGTGAAAGACCCTGTTTCCAATGTACTATGTAAATCATGTTTTTTTCACCATAAATCTGAACTTCATAATTATTTGTATAACTACAGGGAGTGAGCTTTCCAACTACCCATACTATTATAAGAGTAAATGATTTTATAATTACTGTGCAGTTTACAACTGCATAAAGCTCCTTTCAAACTTCTCTGTTTCCGATTGTTCCGAACAGTATAATCATACGTCATGTCTATGTTTCTTTCTCATTACAGCGAGATAAATGTGTTTACGCGTCACAATAATCATAAACAGTGTCCAATCACGGCCACCTTTAACTACAGGCCGCGGGCTGGTAGAATTAGCAAGGTCGCAAGTAGGGTGTTTTAGTGTCAGACTGATTTTTGTAGTTATAAGATAACATGGCAGACAGGTGACATCAGCTCATTAATTCACACTTTATTGATTTAAATTTAAATTTATGAACATAAATGTATTAAAATACTAAAAATAAAACATACAGAATTGAAAACCAAAACAATATGAATTGAAAATCTATATCTGTACATTTAAAGCGGAGTCAATATTTTCATAGTCCAGTAACCAAGCTTTCGTTAATACAGAAATACCATTAGCTACTTCCAAACAAAACAGCTGTTACAACCCTACTTGTGACGTTGCCACTTTGAAGGCCGCGGCCTGGAGTTAAAGGCGGCCGTGGTCCAATCGACAGGTCTGATTATAAACAATAAACATTGCAACAGCTGATCGTTTTGCACTGGCTGGTGGGATGCCGTTTGATTAAAAACTATGCAGTATGAAAGCTTGCATTTAAATACATGGACCACTGACACACAGCCACAGTCTGACAACCGTCCGGTTCTGTGGCAGCGGACGGCTGTTAGACAGCACGGTTTTCTGTCGTCACTGTAACCGTATAGTGGGAAAGCTCTCGTGCTCTTCTTTACACTATAAATAATGTATTACCCGTCCGGCAAAAACCGTATAGCGTGAAAGGAGTGTTAAAGTTGAACTTGTTTGTTTACATCCACCAGCTGTAAGGTGACCTAAAACATTAACATTTAATATTTGACTCACTAGTTTTCTTTTTGTATTTGCATTAAGAGTGTGGATGCAATTCCTACAAACATTCAACAAATTAAACTATACATCGAGTTTGTTTCATTAGACATTGTGACATTGACAATTTTTTGTCAATGAGCTATGACAACCAATACACTATCTAATGTTTTGCAATCAATAAAAATCTGTTACAGGCGAAAAGTGAAGTTTTTACATACACCAATAAATCTGTCAGTGACAGAGCTACAAAAAGTATTACTGTCCTACCCTCTCGCTTTCCCGTTTTAAGTGGTGTACACATAGTCCCACATATGTGTTACCCTGATTTGTACTCTGTGTTTCAGAATTCACTGGAAAATTATACGTTCCTGCCATTTAGCGTGTTCCTTGCGATCTTCTGGATCTTCACTTACAAGAAAGTTCCAGAGACCAAAAATAAAACGTTCGAAGAAATCCTTGCACTGTTTCGACACAACAATGGAAGGTAAGTAGACCACTGAACGGGGATTAAGGGTTAATCATTTTGGAGCTATTTTGTAAGTATTTAAAAATATATTTTGACTGTTGCAAGGTAGCGGGTACTTATCGTGCATGTTTACAAATTAGATAACACATGCCTATCTCATAAACTCTGTTGCTAGTTATAACAGGGTATTACTTGGTCATCATCATTTAAAACCCTAATTAATTTAAAACCCTATTCAAACCCTAATTGTATTTAATTTTGTTGTTATTGAATACGATTTACAGATTTACAGCAAAATTGGACTGAAGTGAATCTTCAATAAAAATAATTTTCTAAAATGGAAACAGCTTTTTCAATAAATTTGTTAGGTTATGCTGTAAACAAATTGTATTTTGTGAAAATCTCTAGTAATATTTTAAAACATATATTCACCAGCCTTATTATTTTGACATTTACAAATTTGGAGTTGTATAGTTCATGCTTTGTTGGATACAAAGAAATAAATCAAAATTACTTTTTAATATTGGTAAAAATACAATGTTTTGCTGTCTTTTTAGTTACCTATATTATTAAAAAATAAAGTACTAAAGAAATGAAGCTGAATTAATTCAGAGTTTTACTGTAATTTACTGTAATATATCACTTACAAAAAAGATTAACAATTCAAATAGGCAATTATGTAGCAAGCTTTAGTATTTACACATTTAAAAAAATAAATTAATAAAAAAATAAGTTTTATGCATTTTTCTATTAAACTTGTTCGACATGTTTGTCAACATAAAAATATTGAGATTTACCAACAATTTTTAGACTTATGCGTTATTTTAATGAAATATTTGTTTTAAATCAGAAATAATGTTATAATAATGTATAAATCCCTTTTTCAAACATTTTGGCCAACTTTCTTGCTAGAAGTAAACTAAAATTATTTCTTAAGAAACTAACCTACACATGTACCACAGTTGGATCATATTATGATTGAGACGCCACAGAATGATCATATTGCAGACTAGTTTCATAATATGCATTACTCCTGCTGTACGCTTACCAGTAGTGTAGACTCATGCAGCTTTGTATTAACTAGGGGCAGTCTTCGTGACAGTAGGCTATATGGGTAAGTTTCTGCGCCCATGATGCATGCTTGTTTGCATGGAAAAAGTTAATAATTTTCTGACCTACCTAAGAACGGTCCTTAGGTTGAATAAAATAGTAGGACTTGCAATTAATTGTTTATTTTGGCTACAAAATGACACTGGAAATAAATTGGGACATTTAGCTGTCTTTTTTCAACTTGTAGGCTAATTAAACAAAATTTAATAATTCAAGATTTATTTTAAAATTTTTAAACAGGTGTGTCAATAAACAATTAAGTATTTCATTACAGCAGTATTAGTGGTGTGGTAATATCATAACTTTAATTATTTGTTGAATCTTCTCTGAGAGAATTACTGTATTTACACTCCTATGAACCATTGCTTCTACATTCCTATAGGGAATTCATTTCAGGAGGCAATTTGGTTATAATATTTATGTTTGGAAAACCTAACTAATAAAGTAAATATAATTACTAAAATATTTTGTAAAATTATTTTTTCTCTAAAATTATTAAAACTAGGTGTTGGTTGATTTCAATGTCAATATACTTTTATACTGTTCTGAGAATGTTATTTCAAATGTGTAACTTCAAAAAACTGTTAAATACCTTTAATATTTCTGTTTTGCTTTTTGTTAAATGTTTCTAAATAATTGCACACAATACTAAATCCTCACTTTCTCCAAGTAAATAATAGTCACAGCCAGCTTATCAGCACTGCTAATTGCTTGAAAAGTATGATACACTATTTGGAATGGGAAGTTGATGTTTGAGTACAAACAATTTGACAGTTTAGATTTTCTTTGCATGGTACTGTTTTATTTATTATTTGGTAAAATTTGTTTTAATATAAAGTTTAAAGAATGCAAAAAATTATTATATTAAAATCCCATTGAACAATTCTTTCTTATTCGTTTCCTATCACAGTTAACAGTCGTTGTTGTAATGTAATTTAAATATTTAAAAATATCCCAGTTATTGTTAAATTCCATAACTGCTTGCTTTATATTTGTGGGTCTATATTGTACATTATATTTATATTCTAATAGGGGTTTATTTTTATTCCGATTTAATAATGTTTTACAAAGTGTCATTGTCAGTTGTAAATTTATTTGGTCTTGGTATTATTATTTTTTTTAATAAGTATTAGACCATCTACTATCACATATTACAATATTTGTGTAAATGATACTGTGTGTAGTTAATTTTCACCAAAACCTTTACTGGTAGTTTTCTTTTCAAATGATAAATACCAATTTGATAGTAGGATTATAACGTTATTTGTTTTGTATATTTATAAACCCGACACACTATGTCCAAGTATAGATTTTATTCAACATTTAAAAATATTATTTTTACTGTTTTGGAAATTTGTCGTAAACAATGCATTTAGCATCAGTGTGAATCAATTTTAATTTTTCCCTCATAGTCGCTAACTGACACTTTGTGAATTTTTATCATAATTATCTAGTCTAATTTGAAACGTTAAGTTACGTAAACACATTTTTGGTAGGTGTGAGCATACAGCTAAGGCTGACCTAACCTAACGTAATGTAACGTATGCATGGGAGACGTTGCCGTTGCGTTATGACAGACTCCAGGCCAGCGTCTGATTCAGTCAGTGTTGTTGTATTTCAGTGTTGACCCAAAGACGCCCGATGAGAAACCGAAGCTCAAGCTAAGTCACTTGTCACGAGTTAACTCGTTCTCGCAACAAGTTCTTAAAACGTAACCTAACCGCCGCTTCCAGCACTATAGCTTGTTTTAGGTTGTTGACTTTACATATTTGGTTACCACAACTGCAAAGTGATTGATATTGGTTGTTTATTGTTGTATACGAGTTTTATTGATTAAATGATGAAAAATGTTCTTTAAAGTAGGGTTTTAATAACACTCTATGTTGTAACGTTAAGTATTATTTCTAAAGTTTATTTTTATTTGTTTCGTTAGTTTTTAAATCAAAGTGTTTTAATATAAACTTTTTTGTATTTCTAATCTCAAAACCTTAACATGCACGAGTATTTAAAATGTAGGTTATATTTATTTATTTTGTTATGTTTTTTCTCGCTAAAGTAATGAAATTGACTTTGCACACACTTTGATTTGATAGAATCAAGTCCTAGATTTAAAAAATAACCAGGAACTTAATATTTTTAGATTTCAGATTTTAAATAGGCATTTTGCAAAACAGAATGTTTTATTGATAGTAAATTTTTGCCATTACTGGCTGCAAGGTTAATACAAAAATAATCTAAAAAGGTAATTACAGTACAAAAAGTTGGCCCACTTTATTTCAAATACCAAATAAAGCTCTAGAAATAATGAAAGAAAAAATAAGTTAGAATTGCTTGATTTGTCTCATAGTCGGTAAATAAAAAAACTCTTTGCCCTGAAATAATATAAAAAATAATATTGAATGACTTCCCCCACTCTTGGAAAGCTAAACTAACATAGATTACAATATTCAATATAGTTTAACATTCATATCTTATAAAGCTTGTCGATAAAAAGTTTCTAGAATTTTAAAAAGGACATTTTATTACTAAATACCGTAACCATTTATGTATTATTTTTATTCATAAAACCATTAATGAACTATGTTTTACATTACTTAATAAAAAGTTAATTGCTGTGATTTTAAAGATAATAAGTTTGAAATTTTGTATAAAATGTTTGACACTGGAGTAACCAAATGTGTAAACTTACAGAGGTATCATATTTTTTATAACTATATTATAAATATAAAGTATTGCTATTTTAAATATATTTTTAATCCGATATATGTTTTAATTGAGTTATATTTTTTATAGTTCTTATATTTTTTATTTCTCTTTGTTTTAGGGGTTCTGGGAGAAAATATGTAGAGTAAGAAATATTTATTTCAGACTCTAATTGCAGTTTTGAAATGGAAAGAAGTTTTATGAAAATATCTTAAATTGTTAAGCAATATACAATTAATTAAAACCATAAGACACCGTTGACACAAAAATATTTTTTTTCAAATGCTTTAATTAATATTATTTCTAAACCAAGTAAAGTAATTGACGGGTAGTAACAAATGTATAATTGCTAAGATTTATTAGAAAAATTTATTTTTAAGTAATCTTTATATTTACGACTAAATTAAACATTGTATGAAAAAAAATTATTTTCATGTTAAATATTACTTCTGAAATACTCCTGTATATATGATGATAAGACTTGATTATTTCTTAATTAATTGTCGTTTATTAGCATTTCTTTATTTTAGTTGCCCAGTACAAAATAATCTTTTATATTCCACCAATAAATTCACACAAGCTTCATAATTAATTAATAAGATTTAGAGTTAAATGATAAATATCAATGTGGTTTATAACATAATAACATATATTATTATGTTATTTTACAAAATATTTTTAATTGATAACTTATAAAATTTTCAAAATTTAATTTTTTATTTTAAAATTGCAAATTATAAAATCTTTAATGATCTTTTGTCAATTACTAGTGATAATTATTTTTAGTTATAAGTATATTTTTTGCGAATTTTAATTATTTATTTTATTTTTAATTTTTAGTTAACATTACGAATTGTTAAGTTAAAACCTGTAAATATATTTTTTTGTTTTATTTTGAGTTTATTTATTTTTCCTTTACTACTCACCTATTTTCTATAATCCATTTACTTTCCCAAGTCTCCTTTTTTTCTTTTATTCGTTTTTATATTGTTTAGTATCCAATACTACAAATAGACTTAAAAACCTTTTACTAGAGGAACTAAACTGTCCTGATTTAATTCAGTTGTTATTTCAAACCCCAAGCTTAAGGGGTAGTAAATAAATTACATATTTATATCACAAATTATATTCAAAGTTAGTCTTTTGCATATATTTGCTACTTCTATTCAATTGGCAATATGGATTAAATTAATAGTGTCCTCATTGTTATTATGTCATATAATTAAATATCTAGAGGGTTAAATAGTAAGACATACAATAGCAACTACTACAGATTGTGTGAACTGAGTAATAAAAATCTTTTTAAATGGTATTTTATATTTAGAAGATTTGCTTAAGGTTTATGGAGAAATAATTTGTTGTAGATGATTTAAAAATTTGTCTAACCATGAACTTGGAAGCTGTTTTTATATTAAAATAATTTCACTCACCTTGTCTTTGGTGAATCCTAATTTGTACTCAAAACACATTAAAATTATAATACATATTTTTATATGAAATGTTTAGGATATAATATCATTCAAAGAATCTTAAAAATCAAGTGTTTTCTACTGTATAGATCTGCTGTGAAACAGATTTTTCATTGGCTTTGCTTTCTAATTCATACTAGGAAAAATGTTGCTAAATCTTGTTAAACAAAAACAAGTACAAATTAAACTCAATGTTTTTATTGTCAGCGTGAGCTAAGGATTAAATATGCTGGCATATCTGCACAAATACAATTATAGATAGAATAACATTCAATATCCTGTAATATGGGACAAAATATATCATGACAAACTCAATGAATGAGGAATCGTACTTCAGTCATCTGAAATAAAAACCCCTAATTAAATCTATTTTTTTCTGTTTACAGATCTAAGTTCCATTATTTTTATTGGTCTTTGTTTTCTTTTGTTGCAAAACATTGTGTAGCAATGTGTATGCTGATAAAAGATTACCGTAAAAAGATTCTAATGATAAATAACTGATCCAAACCAGGTATGCTGAATCTTTTCCAGGAGCATGATAAACTGTGTGAATACGTTAGAGCAACGAATGCCCTCATCTGAGCAGGCCTCGCTCATGGTAGCGGAGGAAAGACCGCTCCCGGACCAATGTAAGCCTTTACGATATTACTGTAAAGATATTGCCAAACGTGTTCGCGCCTGCCACACCTTTGGCAATAGCTGTATTGACCCTTAATGCAACAGTCCGTCGAGATTTTAGAATAAATTTGTCTGGGATTATTAAAGTGGGCGAAAGCAAAAAATCAAAAATCATGTAAGCATCTGGATTAAAATTTGTTTTTGGTTATTGAAATATCAGTGATATTTGGCATGTTGTTTTATTTTCTAACTCTTTCCAAACCAAATCTTTGTCCAAATTTCATATCAAAGCAGGAATAGCTATTTGAGTATTAAGAGCGCAAAGTACGTTCATTGCTGCTTGAGGAGACCGGCAAAGACTGTTTGGGCTTGTAATACTGTACACACAAGATTTTTCCTACCTCCATAATTAACTTATCATAACACACAGATTAACTTTTTAGTCGTCTATAAAATTAAATTTGGGTGTTTTGATTTTTTAGGATGTTAGTGTGTTATAGAAACGCGGGAAGTAAAACAAGCGGGAATGACTAAAGCGGTAATGAGCTATTTAGCATACCGTACTGTTGTGTGGCAATGTGGTAATTTCCATCATGAAGTGGTAGGAAAAAGAGCATTACTTTTTAGCCATTCTACACAAGCACCAAATATTGGGAAGATGAGTTAAAATTTATCACAACAAATTATTTAATATCGCACAGCTGTGTGGAAATAGATGAAAATATTTTGCAAGTTTTGTCGATTCACAAGTATTATCAAAACACATGGGAGTTTCAAATAATGGCAGTTAAACACTCTTGGTAACTCTGAAAAAATGTTAATAATAACGCTCATTTAGTAGTGATTTAATAGTTGTTCTCTACCCAATAAATCATTAATAGTTCTTACTTCTTGTGATTGGAAACTATTTTCCTGGTTTCCTTTAAATCTAGACTATTGAAAGTCGTAATAGAGTATTATTAGAGAATTGATCTTGGGTAATTTTTAAAAGGAATATATTTTGATGTACAAAAATAATTCAGTTATTACAAACAATTGCTCAAATTTGCTTAAGAGTTATATTTGTCCAGTTTACAGTTAAAATAGTCTGTAGAAATTCAGTTTACTTCTTTTTATAATAGAGTTTTTAGGAATATTATGGAATTTCTTCCAGAAACGGAAGGTATGATATCAAAATAATTTAATTAAAAAAAACTTCTAAATGATTACGGATACTCTAAATAATTACTAATAATTACAATAACAGCTACTAATAATAATTACAATAAAATCTTTTGAACAGCTAAATAAATTATACTGTGTTTTCCTGGACTTAGCAATAGACCCTATTTTAGTTAAACATCATAATATTTCAGGGTAATTTTTAAGGACAGTATAAATAAAACCGTGAAACCAATTGTTTTGTTGGAATTTTTAGAACATACGAAGAGACAAATATATAAACGCCAGAAATGGTGTTTTATTTATTTTACCTTTGTGATTGAGAGAATGAACATTTTACTTCTTAGCAGAATCTAACACTGATTTAATATTATTTAAGGGATTATTTTAAAAACTCTCCATCGCGGTAAAAAAAACAAGTTTTCACAAAGTTTCCGTATTTGAAATATAACCCTTAAGATACTCTTTGGAGAGAAAATATCTTAAACATAACAACAATTGTTTACACACAAACCCAGTAAAATCTGGAAAATTACCGATTAAAATCACGCAAGTAGAGAAAAGTACAGAAGTCAAAACAAGAAACAAAATGTACCAAATAAAACCCACAACTGGTACTGTAAGAATAGAGGGACAGAGGGTAGACGAACACAACGGACAATGGGGACACGGCTGCACCAAATGGTGGCTTAACCAAGCCAGTCAAGGAAAAAATTGAAGTCGTTGACTTTTGGTAAAATAGGAAAATATATGTATACTAATTGTTTAGTGTGATGGAATATTTGGAAATGTGTACATTTCAAAATACATGAGATATTTTTGTTTGGGCATTTTTTGTGATAAAAACATCAAATTGAAGAAAACATCCTAGATCACTGAAGCCTTGATTTTGCTTTTTTTACTATTCAAGGTTTTATGTGCCACATTTGGTTTTTTGGGAAGACTTCATTAATTCTCTCCAGGAGTAGGAATACCTCTTGTTCAACAACCTTATCAGTCGTAACACACTGTAAATTTCACCAAATTTTAAATTTTAAAAATTAATAATTTATTGAAAATGATTTTCACTCAGACGGACTGTTGCCATGATTAGTAGTGATGGTGTTTCAGCGCGTGCTGAAGACGGAGACATTTCTTCAGCAGTTATCTGTTTAGGTTTAGAGTTTATTGATGTGTAAAATGTGAAATTAACTCTCACTTTTTTCTCTATAACACTTCTACTTGTTGGCAAACTTTATTTTCTGATCCAAAAAAATACTTTCAGTTTTAAAACTGCACCGGTACTTAATAAAATAATAATAACTCAGTTTCCGAATTTTCCGATACAAAGATGTTTTATTCCAAGCCTTGTTTGATATGATAATGTGAATGGCAAAAAATGTTTCATTTTAATATAATTGGTATGTAAATAACGTAATTAGAGCTAGTTTTGAAACCATTACTTCAATAAAACAATCCAATTATTTGCAACTGCAATTAGGCATGATCAAACTAAATCACATTTATTTTTAATGAATGTGTAGTTTTTGGAAATGTTTTGGAATTCTAATTCCATTACTTGTGATTACTGTAAATCGGATCTACATCCAAAAGAGAACAAAAAAATCAATTGTTATTCATCATTACAACAAAATGCCCAGTCGCAAAACTACAAATATTTTAAATTTTGGTTTTTATTTTCAACTAAAAGTTGTTGTTCTGTAACTAAAATAACTGATGTGATCTTTAATCTAGCTTAACCATCAGTGACATAATTTTGTGTAGTTCATTGGATTATGCTTAACTTTGGGTTTTAATGTACAACACTCAATATAGAGAAAAAATAGAATTGTTTACAAAATCAAAAGGGATATTTAGGTAACCTGTG